GTATGTATGTATATATGTATGCGTGTGTGTGTATATATATTCATTTATCTATTTATTTTCTCTATATTTACTATTAAAACTATTCAAATACACACTCCAACCTTGACTTTTCAATAGCTTTCTTTAGTTTGATGTGAAGATCTTGCATTTCCCATACAACCTCACCATTCCGTTTTGATGTTACACAATATCCTGTATAATCTGGAGAAAACACATCCTTTTCCTGCGACAAACCACAGAGAAATTTTTATACATAACCTTTATAACTTTTCATGTAACAACATTTTATGGGTATTTTTTTTTAACGGTATTAGTTATTTTAAGGTTACACTATATCTTCATCTATTACATTTAAAGATTAATATCCAATGTCATTTGTGTTGATTGTCTTATAATTTTTATTAGTATCTTGGTAGTATCCTCCAAGATAATACCATTATGATTACTCATTATTTTCGACTAAGTTTTTTCAGCTTAATCAATTAGTGTCACAACTTATGAAAACAATTAATTAATCTAAATAAGGGTCTTCTATTATTACTATTTTCAGTTATTCAAAATTTCCAAATCTCATGTGAGAATAATCTGTTAATAGGACCAATGATCAATTGATTAACAAGTTCTATCACCCAGGCCTAGTAACAAAGCAGTTGATAAATACATTTGCCATTACACTTTCTCATTATTACTTTTTTGATTAATACAAATTTATTCAGCTTTGGGCTGGCGTGGCCTAGTGATAGAGGATTGCTTCATGATTTGAGGTCTTGAGTTTAATTCCTATTGCTACCAAATATGCTTTCCCTTTCAACCACAAGGACACTACATTTTCTTGAGTTACAGTGAAGCTACTAAGACTACCTACCAATGACCCTAATTTTGAGCTGCCAAACATTAAATTAGAAACATAGCACATTGTAAAAAAAAACAGTAAATTTACACTTTATTTAGCACTGAAATAGCCATTAAGTTGACCTTGGTGCTTATAACTGGTTTCCTTCCCTCAATTGCATAACTGTGTTCTTTAATGTTAAAAAAATGTGTAAAGTTACTGTTTCTACATTATGTTATGTTGTATTTGTAATTTGCTTAATTGCTTTCTTTAGTGTTAACGAGAGTTGTGGGTTCGGCACTTGCCAAATTTTAAGAAAGTAAAAAGTGTGGTGTTACAAACCTAATGGGCACAATGTAAAAAGAGTAAATTTATAATTTAACTGCTTTGTGTGTGTTTGTCCCATGATCAGAAAATCAGTTTGTACATATACATTTGTAACATATCACATGGTTAAAAGGTTGCAAGGATTTAATATATAAAAATAATACTATTAATTTTTTGATTTTGTTATTGCCATTTCACAAAATGAAAGAGTTAAATTTTGCCAAATTTTGTAAATATACATTTAGTAAATTTAGAATTACTGTAAACATTATTACGTAAAGCTTCATGGGTATGGAATCAGTCAATATGACTGATCCTATGAACAGAGGGTTAATGAAATGATTGATACTTGAAAATTTCTTATATTTTGTGTATGGAAGCATTGTAATGTTTACTGATAAACTACCAAATTTCGTTAACATACATTAATTTAAAAGTTATAGCATGAAAACTATAACAAGGTTTCTAACTCTCTTTTTTTGGGGGGGGAACACCCCTTTATCTAATTGTAACAGCTAAAAGGTCAATATAATAAAAATAATATATATATAAATGTATAATGTTTTGAGATTTAAGCTATTTAGTCTAAACATTTATATTTTTGTGTTATAATTTGTTGTCATTCTAGAATGAAAGAGGCATAATTTATATTTATTTCCTTATTTTTTTATGGTGGTTAGGAGATTGGTCAAATCTACCGAATCCATACAGTGAAAATAACAGATAAAATATAAAGTTTTTCGTAAGAGAAGTTTGATAACTGTCTGGACATTATAAATATTTCGCATGTGAAATTGGAAAATTTTCTGATGCATAAAAGTATTTTTAATCTTAAAATGAAATTTACTTTGCATGTTGAATAGGCAACATCCAAAAAGAAAAAAAAAGGTATGAGAAAAACATTGCTTAACAAACCTTAAGATTTATTATAAAAAAATCACATAATTCAATTACATGATTAGTTTGTGACATTAATCAGTTTACTCATAATTATGATTTATCAGTTATTTAACTTGACACTAATCAATGTAATAAATGTTCATAGTTAGAGGTGGGAATTAGTGGGTGAACAGTGGGACTCATTAATCAATCACATTCAACAAACAAACATTAAGCTTCCTGATTTCACTGAAGAACCTTGAATTAATATAAAATAATAATGAACAATCATAATGACAATATTTCAATTACTTGGAAAGGTTAGAGTAGTTGAAGGCAATTATAATCAGAAGTTTTAATTTGTTGATTATTTTCTTGTCATAACGCTATACAGTACAAAAATGTATAAAAAAGTAAATTCAGGCAAACTTATATTTCCAACAAGTACAAAGGAACTAACTTGAATTTGCTAATCTTTTAACTGTCAGGCTCATTAATTTATTAAATTCAACTAATCAATTATTCTCAAATGATACTTGGATAGCTAGAATAATGAAAAATATTAATAATCAGAAACACCTGTGTTAGAGGCATTTAACTTTAAAATTAAACATTTGACACTGGCAGGATATATAATATGTACAATCTGATTATCTCAGTAATGAAAATGGGTTATAAATTATCATTATGGAACATTACTCTTTAAATAAAAACATCCACATAAGATTTTGCAAGAACTGGTGTAAAAATATATAATTTATTCAGGTTATTTAAGAATGAAAGACTGTTTTTCTATTAAAATTTTTGCTCGTGTCCACAATATACTTTTTGAAAACATAAACCACAACTGATGTATAAATGAACTGTATACATATAAATATATAGTCAATTTGTATATAATAACAAGGCAAGTTAAAAAACATTTCAAAATATCAAACACAATTAAGAATGAAAATACTTACCTCAACTTCATCCTCTGACTTTCTAGTTAGAGCTGTAGCCTTTGTAAATGGTTCTAATTCAGCCTTTTATTTAAAAAAAAAAGTAGCGGTTAAATATTAATTCTAAATAGATGTAGATAAATTCATAAAAATCAATATTTGGAATCAGCAAATCATGTTATTAAATTTCTTATATTTTCTTATTTTGTACAACTGAACACTCATATTGAAATAATAAAAAATTTTTATTTTCTTCTAGGTCCATTTTATTTGCTTATGTCATAATGGTAGTACTTTGCATTTAAATTTGAAGATGTAGGCTCTAATGATTCTTCATTTAGTTTAAAAAATTTTGTAAAGAATCTCTATGCTATACATGAACTGTATGAAAGATGAGCTGAGCTTAGTAATTGCAATTTTTTCTTGTATTTGGGATTGATACCTGATAAAGATACAGTAGTTATCTTTGTACATATAAAAAAATAACTTAACATTCCCATATCTATTATACAGGGTGTTCTGAAAATACAAATCTGGTGCATCATGAATACAATGTCTTTTCTTTGTACTTTTTATTTCATGATGTAAACTGGGCAAGAAAGTGTACCATGCTATGAATAGGTATTCAAAGAAATGCAGATAGTCGGGATTTTAACATTTCATCTAATTTGTATAAAAAGCACTGTTAGTTTAGGGCCACTCTGTATTTGAATGTCAAGTATATTTTATATAGCCCACTTTATATATATGTGACACCAGGCAAGGTTTGTAGATATGTGTAAATTATGCTGCAATGAAGCACTTTATTGTGATTATGTAGATATTTGTTTTTATAGTATAGAATATTTTACATAATCCAATTAGTTTGTAACCAAGGTATAGAATATTAAATAGAGTAGTGTCCACTATTCT